TGGCCTGCTGTGTTCATCCAGCTCTACACCTTGTTATCTCAGATTCTCCAGCATCGGCAGCTCCTACTATCTCTGAAACAATACAGTATTAGTTGTTTTTAAAACACAGTCACATACGTGAGACGGAGAGAAAAATATAAACAGAAGTAGGAAAGTGCGAGGGTCATCGCCGCTGCTACACAAGAACTCACCTTCAATGTAGCTGCTGTTGTGTTTTTGGTGAATGAGCTCGGTGTTGGAGCCCCCCAGAAAAAAAGCCCGCAGCTTGGTGAACGCTAAAGGCGAGGCAGCGGAGTCGGCAGCACCGGGTGCGAAAGAGTCCGTTCTCCCTGCGATCGCACCGCTAAAGCAGGCAGACAAGCTGTATCACTAACTCACCATGACTGCAGCACCCAAACCGAACGCCAGGCCTCCAGCCCCTGCCGGTCTCCGGGACGGGAGAAAGGCTTTCGGCTGAATGTGGAATGGTCCTCCTTTCTCCCCGCCCCTGGTTTGCTTTACGTCCTCACGCTGTGTGTGTGTATGCTGTAGTTTCTGTTTGTAGATTGGAGGAGAGAGTTACCCTCCCCGCAGTGCCACCGAGCATATAACCTTAACACTGGGCCACCACAAATACAACAGTAACACTTATCTTTGAACTCAAACAGTAATCCCATTATAAGATCCCGAATTGCGCCGCCAGGGGTTATTTTGGAGTAATTTGATATATTGTAAGTAAAGGATTATTTTACCTCCCGATGTTAAAAATTAACATTTTTCGGTGTCGTTATGGTTTGGGGACCTATATTTATGCAAGTTACATCTTTCATCTCGAGGCTTTTCCACTGATGAGATCTGACAATCCCCCAATGCTGAGAGTAGGAAGGTTATTTTGGGTCAGCAAGAGGATGCACTTGGTAACAGAGCGCTTTAAATTGCCTGTGGCCTAATCTGTTTGAGGGAGGATTGCAAACAACTTGGACTTTGGCCATACAGACTATATTGTATGTTAATCAGTTTCATACCAACCTGCCAAAATTCATAAATGCTGATACACAGTTTCCAAAAGAAAGCTGACACAACACGTAAAATCTGGCAATCTAATTTACAACTAAAGATCAACCATAGATGACCAAGGCTATAATTTTCCAAGCAAACTAAGTAAATTCAATGATAGTAGGAACTGCAGATGCTGGAGAATCTAAGACAACAAGGTGAAG